CTGCCCCCCCCCCCCTTCACCCACCCCCCCATATGAATAATAATCACATGGGGATTTCTGCATCTACAGCCTTATATTTTTAGTTTTATGGAGAAACCAAACTGAAAAAAAAACTGTATCAATTAAAACACATTCATTTACTTTTTTCTTTACATTATAATAGTTTTATATTATAAAACCTTGATCCACAAAGACCTGGTTCTGTGACCCCCCCCCCCATAGTTTCATTTTCTCTTTTCCAACTTTCTTTTGATTTTTTTTCTCCCCTCCACACCTTCCTGCTCCCTCTCTCTTTCCTCCCCCGTTTGCTGCTTCGTTTTAAATCTATGATTTTCTGAACATCATTTTCTTGATTTTTCTTCGCCCCAGGGAGACATTCTCATTCCAGCCTCTCTCTTTTTTCACCTCATTTCCTCCCTCCTGAGTGAATCTTCCAGACGGGATGTGTGAGGTGACGGTGTGGCCTGTGGAGGAGAGGCCGACGGTGGTGTGTGTGTGTGTGTGTGTGTGTGTGTGTGTAAAAAGAAGTGGGGGTTCTGATGGGGAGGGGGGTCTTGTAAGTACTGCTTTATAAAGGTACAGAACAGATTGAAGGATCAATGCTGGACTATTTCAAATCAGATCCTGAACAGGACCAGGAGACGAGGACATGTTTCTATCTGGACTAATAATTCACTACGACTTTGACATCAAGTTTAATAGAATGTCATAGAAAACCGACTCAACAGTTAAACAACAAACACTGATGGATCCTCTGTTAACACCTGCTCATCACCTGGTACCAGAACAAACAGAGAGACCCTCCAGAACCAACGTCTCAATGTCCGTCTCAACCCTCGTCTCATCTTCCTCCTCCTCACAGTCAGAGATAAAACCTTTTTTTCTGACCACAGGTTGGTGGGAGCACAACAGTGGAAATAAATATATTGTAAAATGCAAAATAACATTGAAATGAAATAACTGAAATAACTGCTTCTTCTCACAGGCGAGATGAAAAAAAAATCAATACATCAATTCACCTGTAGTGGTTGTAGTGGGGGGGGGGGGGGGGTGGCGCAGGGAGTAAAAACAGCTGCAGAAAATACTAGTGTTTGTTCCTCCATAAAAAAAAGAGAAATCGTCCCTAATTTTACTAATTGATCTGTACTTAGACCTTTATATGGAAATGAAGATCGTGTTTTTCAGCCGTGTCTCATCCCGCAGTAACAAAGGTTTTTAAATACATGATATATATATTTATATTATATATTTATATATAAACTGAAGACCTCACTTCAGTTGGCCAGAACCAGTAAGTACATGCAGTAACCATGTCTTACCTCCAGGGCTTTCCTCTTGCTGTTGAGCAGTTTGGAGATGTCCCGGGCCACTCTCTCCACCAGGTCCTTCGGGTTGTTCCTCTTGATTTCAAACTGGCTCTTCTTCTCGCTGTAGATCTGCAGAAGAACACAGAGTAAGGTCAAAGGTCAGATGATGATGATGATGATGAAGCCACAGCAGGAGTGGGAACAACCTCAGAACCATTAGACACTGAGCAGAACCTTAACGGATGAGCTCTTTCCAGACTGGGTTCAGTCTGGGAGAAATAAACACTCCAGCAGATCCAGCTCTTTCCAACCAGCCTTATTTACAGCTCAGTGACAACATATTTGTCACCTATTCCAATGGTTTACTGCAGGCTATCCTCAACCCAATGTGCCACAGAGTACAGGGGGTGGGGGAGTGTCTGGGGGGGGCTCTAAAGAGACTATAAACCTTTATAAATCAACAGACTTGTATTTGGGAAGCTGCGAGGGACTGGGACGTTGGTAGGAGACAGATGCTGGGACCACTGACAGAGGAGGGTAATTGGGAGATTAAAGTGCCTCCGTGGCTGAGTCAGCAGCCAGTGTTCTCTGTAGGAAGTGGGTTTTACAAACAGAGCAGCGTCACAGAGACTACGACTCACTCTCCTGCCCTGAGACACAGGTTCAAGGCATTGAAACATCGCGTTTACTTCATTTGTTTGTTTGATAGAACAGGAATTTTCCTGTTCTATCAAAGCCTCACCATGACTTAGTTTAATCGTTTTTTTAATTATTCAGTCTTTAATTCAATTGATTTGGTAATAATAACAAAACAAAAATAAATAAATCAAGATTAACAGAACCAGGCCGTTGTCTGAGGCCTGTGATGTCAGAGGTGGAAAAGGAGTGGAACCCACTGCAGAGCTCTGACAATGAGAAGGAAATTGAAGTCCAATAGAGAAGTCATTCATCACAGCACAAAACAGTTTTTTGGAGAATCATGTCAAATGTTTCAGGGAAATGTGTTAATAAACTGGAGTAACAGTGAAATCTGGTTAATACAAATAATCCCATTAATGTCAACAGTGACTTGGTGTAAAGTACAAAATAAAGTGTTTGGACTGTTTGAAAACTGTATGTTGTTTGTACACAGTCAGCCATGATACAGAAGGATGGCAGGTTTGAATCCCGACCTGTGGTGAACCACAAAAACTCTCTTTCTTCCCTCGTCTTTGTCAAAGGTAGAGGCTAAAATCAGGACCTTGGACAGCTCTAACAGAACATGACTGAACATTGACTTTCTGTATGAATCTACTGGTTAAACATTAACTACCCAAAGTAGGGGTTTTTGGGGGGGGTGGGTTTTGTTTGTTTTTAAGAAACAAACAGTAGTTCCCTGAACATCAACAAAAAAATGTTTCTTCTCTTAAAACTCACGCTTTAATCAGAGCAGCTACAACAAACACAGCTGGGTTTTCACTGAGGACATAAACAGTAGACCATTATCTGCAAAACCAATCATCTCCACACGGGGTACACTTTAGCCGTTGTTCGCATCTTTCACGCGATTCGGACGATGCGTTAATTAAATGTTGAAGCCTCGGCTCCTGGAGACAATCGATGGTATTTGGGATTCAAATGTCAGCACCTCACGGTACCGTACCGTCCAACCTGACTCACATCAACGTTCTCACACTTCCTCCTGAAATGTCACGGTAATGATCTGCTTTTTCAGTCATAAAAAGTTCTGTCTGTGGGATTGATGAGTTGATGTGCAGCAATTAGGAGAGGAAAACACCGGGGTCCACAGGATCCATCTCTGTCAGAGTCAGAGCTGGGCCGGGGGCCAGAGGCAGACAGAGCGGCCCCAGAACCTCACACCACGCCAAGTAAGCACTCGGGTGAGATTGAACCGTGTCTCAGTCTCCCCCGTCTGTCTCCCAGGAACACAACATCCAAACTCTAATTTACGGTACTGAACCTGGTGAAAGTTTTACCGTAATGTCATTAAAAATGTGTCTTAAAAATCTTTATAATAAAAAATAAAAAACTGTGGTTTTGACTTGTTTGGTTTGGAAACGTCTGACACACACACACACACACACACACACACCCCTGCCATTAACCGTCAGCTCTAAATACCACCGTCCTCACAACAGTAGTCAGAAGTGTTTGCACACTGTTGAGCATTTCACACACACACACACACACAGAAACACACACACCTTTTCAGAGGGCTTTTTGTCAAGGTGGAAGACGCCATTAATGGAAACTTATTAAACCATAAAACAAGAGCAAAGTTTCCACTGCTCCACAGACAGACCATAAAACCCGCAGCATTTTAAGTGGTGTATATTTTAAAGTCAATTTGAAAACCATGTCAAATTTGTTTTCAAATCAATATTCATTGCCTTAATGTCTGTGTGAGTCACGGCGGCGGACGCTGGAGTGTCTACTCTCAGCTTCAAACAAAAACACAACAGACAAAAGTTCAGCAAATCAAATTTACATGTGATTAAAAACTGAAAAGGTTTTGGAATAAAAAACATCACAGACGTTTTTCTTTTTTTTTTTTTTTTTTGGAGGACCCATTTATTGGAGGATTTACCGAGTGAATATCTTTAAATGTAATTTTACCTTTTATTACTGGTCTTGAATATAAGATTTAAGGTAACAATGATGTCACTGTGTGAGTCTGTGTTACTGAAAATAATGAAACAACTTCCCTGGATCATAAAAAGCCAGAGTTAAACCCTTGAATCCTTGAACAAACTTTAATGACAAATGGACCCAGATGAAAAGTATCACCCTAACAGCACTGCCATTACACAGTCCCCTAGTGGACACATGAGGAGCTGCACATCAACCAGATGGAGCTGTGGTCTAAAAAAGGAAACAGAAACAAAAAAAAAAATCACGGGCAAAAGAATTATGGTCTGAACGACGGGCTAATGCAGACGGACGTGCAGACAGATAATGTTCTGACTGACCATAAACAGGCTGCAGGAACATGGACATGTCCTGAGGGGACATTTAAAGACTGTAATAAAAAAATAATCTGAATTTAAATTGTTCAGCTACACTTATTCACAGCAATTTCCTCCCATTTCTATGCATCATGGGGGATTAGGACAAACGTGTTCACTCTTCTTTAATTCAGTCGGAAGACAAACGTCATTTTGTGCTGAAATGCTGTTATTTTTTTATTATTATTATTATTATTTTGGTTCATGCTGGTCTGAAAAGGACTGAGAGACAAAAGAAAGTAGTGAGATCAAAAATCCTTCTGTGTTCTGACGGGTAAAAAACCAACAAAATAAAAAGACAATTCAGCATCTGTCATTATATGATGTTAAAAATATTAGTTATTGAGTCATTTCTGTAATAACATGTTTAAAAGAATGAAGGTGTGTTTTTTGTCCACATTATCCCTGAGCTCCGTTACACTTACTCTCTCTGTGCATTAGTTAAGATTGGCTTTAATTTCACTTCATTCCATTGATCCACTTTGATTGATTTCCTTTAGTTGACTTCAGCATAAACTAAATCCAATATGAATTACATGCGGCCAATGGGGGGCGACGTGCTCAGACCATTGACTCCAGTTGGTTAAATGATCTATAAAGTCTCAGCCATGTCTTAAATATCAGCAAAGTGATTGATGGTCGTTTTCCAGCAGCACCGTGGACGAGTTCCATCCCAGGAAGCATGGAATAAAAGAACGTAAAAAAAATAAAATAAAAAAAGAGTGTGAGAACAGAAGCCAAGGTGTCGGTGTTAGTGACTGACGGAGGTATTTATGTACAGTACGTGGTGAAACTGGAGTTACGTCATGCCGTGGTAACGAAACACGGACCTCGTGTAAGTTCAGGTTCTACTGACCAACAGGAAACTTGATAAATGATAACAGGAAACTGCACTTGTCAATCATAATAATCCCTCCTCCTTTCACCATCATGTAATGTCAGGACAGAGGTGCTGGTGGTGCTGGTGGTGCTGGTGGTGTCATTTTAAGGATAAGCAGCGCGGCTGAATCACAGCGTTCTGCCTTCAGCCAATCAAACCTTCTGCTGCTAACACTTACACAGGATCTGACAGAAGTAACTCTGCCAAAATCTCACCAATATGTTTTCCCTGGCAGCCAGGACCCACAGAGACACGCTGACATATTCACACACACACACACAGTAACACCAAACTAAACTAACACGACGCCCTCGGCTCACACTCATCACACACACTCACATTCCCATCATTAGCAGTGATGACTGGTTCCAATGTGCCAAGCTCTGAGTGTCTCTGTAAACACACAGATGGAAAGACAGAGGGCGGCAGGACTCCAGGGAGTTAGTGTTAAAAAGTGGTATGATGACTCAGCAGTCGTCCAACATCAACCACACACGTCCTCTGGTCCAGCATGTCCACACCGAGGCCCTGGACGTCCAGTGTGTTTGTAAAGACGGCCAGAAAGGCTGGAAAAACTTTGAACGATGTTTCTGGTTCCATCAACTCAACAGACGACACAAAGAGTAAATGTAACTGGGGATGATTTCTTTCTGCCTCCGTGGCTTCTTTCCCACTCACTTGTTGACTTTTTTCCACCGTGTCCTGCTGCTAGCACTGATGTTTTTCTGCAGTGCCGATGTTTTTGTCCTTTCGTCTGTGTCTAAAAGAGAGGACTGCTTATCTCACTTGGAAGTCGCCCACAATAGGCCGTGTCTGGATGAAGCAGCGCCGACTTTGACAGAGATAGATGCCACATCATTAAGGAATATTAGTGGACTCTGCCGAGTAGAGCCAGCTTCCACAGGCCCCGGGTGGAGTTCAATAAGGGAGACAGACAGAGAGAGAGAGACAGAGAGAGAGAGAAAGAACGTACTGGGGTGCAGCTGCCCCAGAGAGGAGCTCGATAAGACACAACACACCAGGAGCCTCTCATTGTTCAGCGACGGCCTCGGGAGGAGAACAGTCAGACCGAGAAAGGAGAAGAAAAAGTAACTGCTCTGAAGTTGGCGTCTCTGGGAGGAATTCATGTTCCATCGAGCCAAGAAGAAAAAAAGACACAGATGGGTTCTTCAGTGTCACCTGCTTTGGTAAACACAGCGTATCAACACGGAGCTTCTGGTTAAAGATCTCCATCTCTGGTGTTC